AACATGAATAACATGTAAATGTTAGTGATTCAGCATTAATGCCGTGCCAGGAGGAGATAGTTGAAAAACACCCTCTAAACTATCTTTATCTAGCTATGTCCACTGCCTCTGGGGGTCGTGTTGCGTTAACTGCACACATAAAGTGAACACTCATGACCTCTCTGGTGGCTCTGCCGTCCACCTCGCTAACGTTGCCTTTACAGCGGTATGACTTGCTACCTTTATCATCACCTGTGTGCTTCGTGGCTTAATGTCGAAGCAAATGTCCTGAAATTGGGGTTAACTCACAATAGGGACTTGTATTGAGTAGAGTGCAGAGGTATAATGCGGTAGAAAGACACCAAATACCATATATTACAAACATAACAAAAAAAAACGTCGCAAGTTAGCGTTAGCTTAGCTACCGCGCTAACGGTGCACAGCTCCAGAAAAGGCTTTTTACAGTGTAGCCAGATGTCCGAGACTGAACACGGCGGATAAACTTTACCTGTGCATTTGTTTTCCATAAAGTCCGTGACAGGAATGACCCATTCGGGACTTCCCAAGTAGCCAACGATGCTCTCTACAACCCATTCGCAGTCATCCTCAGCCATGTTGGCCGCCGCTGGGTTCACGTCAACAACAACAGCACCAGCACAGCGATGTTCCTCGGGTCGGCGCGTCCAGCTCCACTACACCAGCGCACACAGACGGGGAGATACATCTGGTTCACTGTCCTTCATGAAGTAGTCCCCATGGCGCGTCGCTGTGCCTCCTCTCCTGACGGGACGGGACGGTCTCCGAGAGGAAAAGCGCACTCGTGAATTTGCAGGTCGAGAGTGGTGACGCCTAATCGGTTGCTAAGGTAACCGTTACGTCAGCCCACGGTTGCTCGAGCCCAGGCAGCTACCAGCCGCAGGAATCCGCTGCTGGCTCCCAGCTTCACTCCGGCTCATGTCTCCGTGGACATATGCATGTCTCCGTGGACATATGCATGTCGCCGTGGACACTTGCATGTCTCTGCTGCATACGATCCTAAAGAAACACCGTCTATTTTAGCACCTTAGACGTTTGTAAAGATGTAATCCAGTGGTGGAGCAAGTTTTCGAAGGCTTTACTTTAGTAAAAAGTAGAACCACACTGTAAAAATCCTGCGTTGAAAATGTTAAGTAAAAGTATGTACGTATAATTAGGAAAATGTACTTAAAGTGTTAAAAGTAAAGTAGAACCCAAAGCAGAAAAATGGCTCCTGTGACTATTATACTATTATATATTATATCATTAGATTATTATTACTCACATTATGCAACAGCAGGATTTAACTGTTGTATTTTGTTTGTATTTTAATTATCTACTGATTATTTTTTGAGTAATCAATTGATTGTTTGGTTTGTAAAAATATATAGTGAGAAATGCCAGTCACTATTTTCACTGGGCCCGGTGCTCAATGTAGGGACATATCCAGGAATAAAAATCTTTATGACAGGGTCTTAAAAGTCCTCTGTCTGATGCATCCTCAGCATGATTGTATGTGAAAGAGGCTGTGAGTTTCCAGTGCGGTCACTTTAACCTTACAGTGAATTGGGTTCTTTAGTGTGGTCAATCAGGTGAATATTATCGGTAATTATTCAGTTTTTAATCAATATGTTCCTGTAGCAACCTGGATACCCCTCTGCTTAGCCAGAGGCATGTCCATTCAGGCTACCTATAGGGCCTGACTGACAGCCACGGTGCAGTGATGTACTAAGGATTAACTAATGAGGTAAGCCCTTGCTTTAATTAACAGCATTTGTATTAAGGAAACCCAAGTAACATAAAAAAAAACACAAATGCAGACACAAAAAGCTAAGAGTTTTTTATTAAGAGTAAAAACTTAGCAATCAGATAATTCAGTAGTGTGCATTAACAAGAATATTCAATAAATATACATTCCTTCTGTATTTTTAAAGTTTTATAAGATTTAATTGTTATCTCTAGAAAAGCTCATAGCTGCTGTGCACAGTTCATAAAGGCAGGGCATGCAAACAGTAGTCATGCCGAAGAAATTCAACAGAAGGTAGGCAACATTAAAAAGCTTTTACAGTGAGCATTTAAAGTGAACCAGAAATAGCACTTCATTCTGTTTAACTCTGTAGCTACCTCAAACCAAATCCGCCTTCCCTTCTGACTTCAAGAAAAACAGTTTCTTTCACAGACTTTTCAGTGAAAATTGCAAATTTTTCATTAATCTCATCAGAGGGATGGAAAGATGTACAACAGGTGATACAGAAACATTGCTTCTTTTTTTAACTTGGAATTTGCAGATTGTAAACCTTGGCGATTGTGTACCGTGTGTTCTGTGTTACGTTAAGTCTCCATTGACCATTAAAGTTGTAGTCCTCATCTCTGTTAACTGGGAATCAGTCTCTGTTTTCTGATTATCAAAATAGTTTGAAAACAAATAAACAATGTACATGAAGCTCAGGGTACAGGGTGCATTAGAGACATTCCTGCCACCCTGTGTTACAATCGTAGATAATAGCAGCTTAAAGAAGTGAATCTGACTCCAGACCAGCTGTCAGATTATAAGCAGTGTGATGATGCAGTACTTTACAAGAAAATGTGTCATATTAGTATTAAGTTGATGCTCTTCAAGTTTTACTCACTTTGTGTGGAGAAATGAATGAAACATATGTGTTTGTATAAGTGTTTGCGTCATATAAGAGTTATAAATCAGTTTATAAGAAAGAGAGAAAGTGTTAGAGCACACATACAGCAGCAAAGTAAAGTCATATCTTTATCTTTATGCAAATAGAATTCAACATATAACTGTTATTTTATTTCATTATTTTTGTTTTATACTTGAATGTGTTATATATCAACTTCCTGTACTATACTGTGTCTACAATATGTGTTGTTTTTTTAAAAGAACAAATAATCATCTGATCACCTCAAAAGAAATAAAAGTTATCAACATAATTTCTGCTCCAATTTTGACAGAGAACAATCACTTACATTCCCATGTCGCTGCCTTTTATATATTTTCATAAGAACTGACATTAATAGTAGTTGTAAGCCAACATGTGTTCTTACTAAAGGCTGATTTTTAAAAATGATCATGTCATATTGCAGCAGGTAAGTGGGAGGAAATGTTCTTTCTCATGACATCCTCTAGGTGGCAGAAGTTATCCATCATGACCAGATTACAATTGTCAAATGTTGTGTTTTTGACTGACAAATGTTGGATTTTACACTGGTATCATTGTTTCAGCTACATGTGCCCTGTTTGCCACTGCATGGCAGAACTGAGTCTATGTAGTTACATTTGACCTGTAACACAAACAGAGCAGGCAAAAATGCTGTATAAAGAATACTGGTGATATGCACCAAAAATCCATGCGATATGTCCATTTACCACAATGGCTGACTTCTAATTCTTTCTGGTAACATCTAAACCTTCTCTGCATCTTGACTGTAACAGCCTAAGTTTTCCTGCAGTATCAAACTATTCAATTGCGCTTCATGCACAGATAAATTGATTAATGGCTTTGGAAGTTCAAAAATATTTCTACGTTATAATCCTCACAGCAAATAGTGTATAAGGGACTTAACCTCACATGCAATCATTCAAAATGCAAATGAAAGTCGCTACAAGCTTTCAGTCCAGGGTAAATTAGTTGTTCTTAACTAATAATCATGTACATTTAGCTCTTCCTCCACATGGTAAAAGTACTATATATATATATTCAGTGTGACATTACAGACCACCATGCCCTTGAGGTTGAACTGCAGCAACTGTCAGGCTCTGTTAAAAATTCATTGTATTGATTTGGCTGACAGCAAAGACCCTCTGGCCCCTTCTTCTAACTGCTCCTTTAGTATTTGTTCAATAAGTCACAACATTGCATTTGGAAGAATACTATAGATAACCTTTCAGTTCATCCTCTTCTCCTAGGATTTGTATATAGGAACTGCAATGTTTATCTATATGGACCCTTTCAGATCAATAGCCCCTGTTCCTCTGGGGAAAAATATAAGCCTTCAACTTAAACAAATTGAGGCTGTAATTTTTCAGTGACAGCGACTGATGGAAAATACCAGGCCATAGTACATTTGGTGTGTTATGTAATAAACACAGTGGATTAGGTGCATCATCTAATTCAATTATGACTTCCATAAAATAAAACATTTTGCTATACACCATCCCGCTGTGAAGATATATGATGCACCATGTCCCTGAATTATGTAACTGCTTTCTGTACAGCGTTTAGTGCTTGTGGTATTGAGATTGAAACATGGTGGGCATGATTAGATAAATCCCTTTAGAGCCCCAGTTCCTTAACTGTGGGTCAGCACTCAGAATGAGTTACTGGGTGGTTTCTATTACAGTAATAATGTCAATGTTAGTCAGTTTCATCAATCAATGTGTGTTAATACGTGTCAATTCTAAATACATCTGAATGCAAAAATGTCGACATATTTCAACATATTTCTGTTTCCATCCAGTAACACAGCTGCATAAATTATGTAGAAGGGCCACATATGGGTTGTCTGTTTCTATTAATGTCATTCGACCCATCATAAGGTTAGGATAAGGATCTGAAGTTATCAGTGGTAATAAATAAGTTTAGTAAGTTATTAATCGAATGCACAGTAACTTACTCAGAATACTGCTGCAGATGCACAAAACTATTTACATGAGGCCAAAGTATCCACTACCACTCTGAGTATAGAGGCAATAAGAGATCCACAACATGTAAAGTTGGGTAAATCTTTTGCTACTAAAATGAAGTTAGTGTAGCTACACATGCTGCATTGCCTCCCATCTCTGCATAGACATGCAGTCATTCCCACTTTTAAAGGGTTAAAAATTATGACTGCCACAGACAGCTTAAGTGACATACAGTAATCAGGCAATCCGTAAGAGTTCATCTGTTCCTTTGCTTGAGAGACCACAGCAAGAAGAGTAAAAAGATTAAATAAGTAGCAAGGTTGTATGTTATTATTACAGTGTATTAAT